TTGACTTATTTTAAATTCGGCCCTCCAGAGGGATTAAGGGCTTAGGTAATGGATTTGATGTGAACTGCGCTTGTTTAGTCGAAGAACAAACTGCCTTCCTCTAGATCTTACTGCTAGTATGACCAAGTTGCGAAAACGAGGTCAAACAACTTCTGCGCTTGTTTAGCTTATAACTCGAAATCATAATAAAAGTTTCATCAGGACTTCTAAACCTGGCTCAAAAATTCTACCTTGAACGAAAGCAATTAGGCTGTATTGAATGTGCCTATATGCACTCTTGCATAGTTGCATGCAAATTTAGCGATCGACAAAGATAAATGTTTTTTAAACACCTTTTTTGCGTTACATAGTTGTAGCTTTTGAGAATCCGATTTCAGTCAATATGAGCTGGTTAGTTTAAGCAGCTAATTGAAGAAAAATTGAATATGATCAGCATCCCTTCTATGAACATACTTGGCAATAAGTATTAGAAGCTCCGACTAATACAAGAACCCATAAGAAGGTAATATACTAGTTCGACATAAAAAATTTTCACACTAGTTCTTATTCCTTAGAAATAAGCTCATGATTAGTTTAAGAAGAAGCTTGATTTTTCAATGAAATTCACTGTACACATTTCAAAAGACGATTCTCATTTGGTGTAAAGTGCAGCTTTGACATTCTCTTAAAGTTTTTACTGAAAATATTCTTCAGTCCCATTTATTTTGTTTGTTTTTTCGCCTTTTTTTAGAAAGGAAGCTGCGCAACTTTGGTCGCAGCGAGAGGGGGAGTGGCATCGAGAACGGGAAGCACGAGAGAGATTGTTGAGTGAGGTGGGCTTTCTTAACTCACCTTTTTTAGTGTTTCTATTTCGTTTAAATCTGAACTTCTCACTACTACTTGCTTTTTCGCATAGATTAAATAATTAATATAAATTAATTTCCTTCTATAATTTCATATATTTTTTTTGCTGCACGAACTCAGGTGCTCGCTGTTCGTCAAAAACAAATCGAGGCCTGTCTTGAGGAAAACCGGCTCCGACAGGCTGAAGATCTACATCTCCGGGAAACTCTACTAGCAGATCTGGAGTCCGAAGTCTCAGGCCGATCAGGCGGAAAGGCACTTGCTCGGCATAAAGCCGCGACCCAGCGACGAGCCGAGCTTGACGCTCAGCTAATGGAGGCAAACCTTCTCCAGAGTCGTGAAGCGGAAGCGGATCGTTTAGAAACTGAGGCAGAAAGAGCTGCGGAGGTAGAGTATGAAGAACGCCTTCGCTACGAAGCTAACCGCCTACGTCGTCAGCATCAGCAGCGAGAGGCTTCTGGAAAGGAAACTTCCTATAATGATTATGATAACTATGCGGACTTGTCTAGTCTATCTCTAAAGGACCGGGAAGGTCAGGAGCTGACTGAGGCAGTGCCTTATGATTCTCTGATTTGCAGTGGAACTCGGGCTGATAAGAATTATTCAACAATGCGACCTTTAACAGGTATATAGACAAACATTCAGACCTGAATGGGATTCATGAAGCATATTATATATATATTAAAATATAAAAGTTATAAAAAATCCACAATGAGTAAGATCGAAATCTATAAGAATATCATGCTGTGCTCAACAGCACACTAGTATTAGAGCCCTATCAGAGTATGAGTCAAATATCAGGCGCCTTGGCTACCAGGTAATTTATTAATATATTACTTTATACACTTATCATGTCCATAGCATTTATTTATTTGTGAATTAAATATAGGAAGAAAATGGGCTATTCTATGTATGTAGATATTCTATTATATAAAAGCATCAACCATTAGAATTCTCCGCACAGTGATAAATTCAGGGTAGCCTGGTTTTATCTCATAAAAGTTATTAAGTAAAGAAGTTGTTTGACCTTGTTTTCGCAACTTGGTCATATTGGTAGGAAGACTTAGAGGAACTCAGCTAGTCCGGAGTCCATTGTATGCATCATCATTTCCAGAGTAGGACCGAAAACATGGTACATTCCCAGATGTTTCGCCGGCATCGTCAGTGAGTCTCGCCATTCGTAGCACCATATTACAACTCGTCCAAGAGACAAGATGCCGGCGAAACGTCTGGGAATGTACCACGTCCACGGTCCTACTCTGGAAGTGATGATGCATACACTAGACTCCGTAGTAGGCACGTTTCTCTAAGTCTTCCTACCAGTATGACCAAGTTTGGAAGACTAGGTCAAACAACTTCTATACAACTAAAGGAGACTGCGACCACACAAAAGTAAAGTTAGATATATAGCCGTATTTTTGTTGTTTGCATTAATAAGAAGCATTAAACCTTGAAAAGGACCCAAAATGATTACAAAGTAGAAAAGATAACATTCAGGATCGTTGGTAAGCCATGCTATGCTTCTCTTCATAATTGTGGTGGTAGCTACGAGATGTGTAGTAATCACAGCGTAAAAAAAAGAATCATGCATTTACATACGAAATGAAAGTCTCACTAACAAAAGAGATATATACTGGATTTGATCTTTACTAAGGAATATAATTTTCTAAAATCCCTCTTCAGACCTCTGTAACCAAGATGTTGGCCTCTTTAAAACTTATGTTTATCGGATATAATGTAAGCCATTTGCAGCGCCATGGAGAAAAATAGCCTTTTCGGACGCTTAGTTCGATAAGAATTTTTGCTCGAGGCTTTTGTAATAATAAAAACATAAGTAGCTTTTTTGAGCTTTCCAGTAGATCTGATATAAGAGATTTATCCACCCGTTCAAGGTTTTAAGGGACTA